CAATATATATTAGAATTGCAGTGAAAGGTTCCAGGAGAAATAGCTATCATAGTACATTTTATTTGCAGTTTAATAATGCCAGTTATATATTGATTGATTACATGCCATTTTTACATTTTTAAAACTTCTTCTTGGGTCATTTATGTATATAAATAACTGGTACTACCAAAGTGTTTTATTTTAGGTTTTAGATATCAAATAAAGAAGTAGAAGCCAAGATTGAATGTGTTCTTGTGATTGAAACTTTGATATCACTGAGAAAATCTCCAGATCCGGCCTTCTAAGGGACCTAAGCAGAGTAAGAATATGTCTGATTGGAAATACATAGGTTTTTTTGGCTAATTTGACCAAGGGCTCTAGAAAGTATATGGAGGGTGTATGCCAGCCTTACTCTTGCTTTTTAATTTCTTGTTTAAGCAAAAGATTGTTCCTTTTGCTATAGAGGCAACAGAACTAAATCTATAGTGTTATGCACGTTACTTGTAAAGTCTTATGTCAGGACCAGATGGTGGCTTATATTTTTTCCACCTCCCAAATTCCCTTTATTCTACTTTAGTCCCTTCATTTTTAGAGATGAGGAAACAGATTGCTTTGTTCAAAGACAGCTAGAACTAGAACACAGGCTAATAGTTGCTAGCCATGCGATACACTGATGTCAGCCAAATATGGGCATTTACACTGTCAGATGTTTGCCATATCTGTGCACTTACTAATGCTATTTAATACAATTTAAATTGGCTCCTTTAAATAAATAAGCTTACTTTTAAAGAAAATTTTTTTGCTACTATAAATGGAAAATTATCATATCCTTTAAATAGTAACTCTAAATAGGAATTCAAATCAAAACAAAGCAATGTTATTAAAATTTAATTTAATTTAAAATTAATTTACATTTAATTACTTGTTATTAAATTTTTAATTCTTACTGTTCTTGGTCAGAAATGTGTCAAAGCATTGTTTTCATGTTTGTTGGCAGTACCTTAATTATCTAAACAGAAAAGCACAGCTAATGCCTCTAGTTAAGCTTCTGTATAACTTTTTTAAATGAAATGCTTCTTAGAGGGGAAGTATATGTTCATATACTAACATATGATTTTTATGTATATCGGAAGATCTTATTATATGAAACCAAAATTATTCTTTGGTTGATTTCATTGTCCTTGAAACTTGTTTTTACATTGAAAGTTTTAGTTAGCATAGCATAAGTTTATTTTTCTAAAGGAATTTGATTGCCTCACAACTCAAATGTATCACAATTATGGTGAAATAGGAATATATTGATCTCTGTAACCTTTTAAATACTGTAATGAATTAAAATCTCTTCAGCAAAAGCAAATATATCTAGAGAGACGAGAGGTATTTTTTGTGTATTTGAATGATGGAAATGTTTTTCTTAAAATACTTCTGAAGCTTTTTTTAATAATTTAATTTTTCTGAATTTACTGATGATAGAAATTGTGTGTTAGTGTGAATGACTATTCTAAATGTGTATGTCACCTCCAAGGGATTACCAGGTGTCAAAATGACTTGTTTTATTCATTGACTTCCCCTTGACATGTTCTTATTCATTGGGCTACATACATTCTGTGTTGCCTTCTCACCAAAAGTCCCACCGCACAGGCTGTATTTCACTGTACTGTAGAAAAATATAAGTAGACATTTTTCATCATGAGATTCCTATGAAACCTGTTGGTGGAGGTATAAAACAAGGAGACTTTTATGGTCTAGCTATGAAGAGTTTTGCTGTGAAACCTTTGTAACAGGTCTATCAGGAACTAGGGAGAGAAATAAATACAGAAAATACTTGATTCAGTTAAACTGCAGATTAAATAGACATGATAATATTTTGGGGATTATTTATTGTGATTTTTCTGACTTATCAGAAGTGTTAGTTTTCTGTTTGTCATACTTGTGTCAAATATATATATATATACACAAACATAAATAGTTTGGGTTTTTTTTTGTTTTTGTTTTTGTTTTTGAGACAGAGTCTTCCTCTCTCACCCAGGCTGGAGTGCAGTGACATGATCTTGGTTCACTGCAACCTCCACCTCCCAGATTCAAGTGATCCTCCTGCCTCAGCTTTCCAAGTAGCTGGACTACAGATGCGCACCACCACTCCGGGCTAATTTTTGTATTTTTAGTAGAGATGGGGTTTTACCATGTTGGCCAGGCTGGTCTTGAACTCCTGACCTCAAGTGATCTTCCTACCTTGGCCTCCCAAAGTGCAGATTATAAGCGTGAGTCACCACACCCAGCCAAATTTATATTTTTAAATTAAACTTTTTACTTTGAAATGATTGTAGACTCACATGCAATTGTAAGAAATAATAGATTCCTCATACCCTTTACCGAGCTTCCACAAAGTAACATCTTGCAAAACTATAGTAAAATATCACAACCAGAATATTGATAATGATAAAGATACAGAATATTTTCATCGCCTTCCTATTGCCCTTTTGTAGCCACTCTTACATTTCCTCCTATTCTTACCCCATCCTTAACCCCTGGCACCCACTAATCTGTTTTCCATTCCTATAATTTTGTCATTTGAAGAATGTTACATAAATGGAATCATTCATGTAACCTTTTGAGACTAGTTTTACTTAACATAATTCTCTGGAGATTTATCTGTGTTTTTACATTTATCAGTAGTTTGTTTCTTTTTATTGCTGAGTACTATTCCATGGTAAGGATGTACAGTTTAATCATTCATTCAGTAAGAAGATCTGTGTTGTTTCCAGTTTGGGTTATTACAAATAAAGTTGGCACAGACATTTATGTACAGGTTTTTGGATGGATATATCTTTGTTTCTCTGAGATAAATGCTCAGGAGTACAATATAATTTTCTGAACTATTTTCTTTACATACATTTAGAACCACATCTAACAACTGTATTACAGTTTTCACTTTGACCATCAGATAAAATTTAGAAAATTCAAGAGAAGGAAGTGTTATTGTATTTATTCATATTTTTGCTACCATGTTTTTACATCATCTCAGATATTTTAAGGTTATTTTATTTATTTTCTGTTTAGTTAATTTCCTCTAGCTATTCTTTTATAGTAGGTCTGCTGGTAACAAATTCTCTTAACTTTTCCTCGTCTGAGAATGTGTTGACTTCCCTTCCATTTTTGTCAGCACCTGAAAAATATTTTGCCACTGTCTTCTGGGTTCTGTGGTTTCTGAAGAGAAATCCACTGTCAATCTATTGTTTTTCTCTTATAAATACAGTCAATGTTCTTTCTTTCAGGATGCTTTTTTTTTTTCCTTGAGACAGAGTCTTACTCTGTCACCCAGTGGCATGATCTTGGCTCACTGCAACCTCCACCTCCCAGGTTCAAGCAGTTACTTCTGCTTTAGCCTCCCAAGTAGCTGGGCAGGGCACACCACCAGACCCAGCTAATTTTTGTATTTTTAGTAGAGACAGGGTTTCACCATGTTGGCAAGGCTGGTCTTGAACTCCTAACCTCAAGTGATCCACCTGCCTTAGCCTCCCAAAGTGCTGGGATTACAGGTGTAAGCCACCACACCCAGCCTGTTTGAGGACTTTTTCAGCTTCACTCTTTCTTCTTTTTGGGTTCCAGTGACACACATGTTAGATCTTTTCCTATAGTGTTACCAGTCCATAAGGCTCTTATTTGTTTCATTTTGTTTTTTCCTATTTTTTTTCTATTGTTCAGATCAAGTAATTTCCACTGTTCTATCTTCCAGTTCAGACTCTTTACTGTGTCCCCTCCATTCTGCTGTGGAGCCTCTCCAATGAACATTTTATTTTGGTTAATATGTTTTTGAGTTCTACAGTTTCTGTTTGTTTCTTCTTTATATCCTCTGTTTCTTTGCTAAGACTTTCTTTTTTTTTTTTTTTTTACCTATCCCAAGCATATTTTGTAATTGCTCATTGAAGCATTTTTATCATAGCTGCTTTTAAATCTTTGTTAGGTAATTCTGTCATCTAAGTTTTGGCATCTGTTGATTATCTTTTGCATTGTTTTAATTCTTGTTCTTGCTAGGATGAGTGATTATCTATTAAAACTAGATATTTTCACATTATGTTCCTAGACTCTGGATATTATCTACACCTTCTGTTTCCACTGGGTTTTCTTGACACTGCTTTGGCAAGGTAATAAGGGGTGCCTCCTCATTATTGCCTGGTAGACATAGAGTCAAGAGTCCCTACTCTGCCTCTACTGACACCTGAGGAAGAGGATCCTTCTTGTTATTGCTGGGTGAGGGGTGGACATCTAGGTTCCCCACATATAGTATGCACTGACACCACTGGGGCAGGTGTGGGAGCATGCCTGGACATCAGGGCGAAAGTCTTAGCTCCCTACTTGGCCTACTTTAACATTGCCCCAGTAGGGCATTGGAGATCCTCACTATGGTTTATAATGTGGAAGTCAAGGCTCCTCACTTTGCTCTCGGTGGGGGTGGGATGGGGTGAAAGTGTTTTCTGGGTTTGGCTGGAGTGGAAATGTTTTCCGTCTTGCTAGGCTGTCCCTTTCTTGTTTCTTTGCCTAGAGAGAGCAAGCTTTTGTTGTGGCTCTTTTTGTCTGTGCCAGTTGGCATCGCCAGGTTGCTGCCTTCTTTAGCTCCAAGTCTGGGATATATTAGGCAAAAAGAAAACCCAGAGAATTTACACGACTGTGTCATATTCCATGGGTCCTAAGGTCCCTTACTTAGTCTGCCTTCTCCACTTTTCAGTCTTCTTATGTTTTTTATATAATATATAGGGTTTTTAGTTATACTTAGCAGAAATAAAAGGGAAAAGTATATCTGTTCTATCCTTCTATAAGTGGAAGTCTTCAAATTTACATTTTTGACCCATTTAAACAGTTTTGTCAAATATATAATCATCATTGGGCAAAATGTCCATACAATGTATATACCATGTGATGCTTTGCATAATATTGTGTTCAAGGGGACTTCTAGAAAACAACATCTTTATTTAAACTGAAATAAACTGTTTACATTATTAATGAAAACTTTTTCCCTCTAGGAAATAATGCAAAAGGTGTCCCAAAGCTCCTGACCAGTGAACAAAGATTTGAGAAAGACAGCCAAGCTCATGTTTTCTCCTGATCAAGAAAATCATCCATCTAAAGCACCAGTAAAATATGGGGAACTCATTGTCTTAGGGTAAGGTTTCTCCATTTTGATGAACCACACCGTTGAATAATATATGCTAATTTTGGCATGTAGGTTAAAAGTGTTTTGTTTTAGAATTTATATCTTACCTGCTTTCAAAAAGAATTTAAAGCTACAGATAATATTACCAAATCAAGAAACTCTTTTAATTCTCGTATTCATGCCATCTTTTAAAAATACTCAAATACGACACAAGCTTTGTCTCACCCTTACCAGCAGAAAGAGCAAAGTTTCTTAAAGATGAAATGAAAAGGCTGGGCACCGTGACTTATGCCTGTAATCCCAGCACTTTGGGAGGCTGAGGTAGGCAGATTATCTGAGGCCAGGAGTTCGAGACCAACCTGGCCAACATGGTGAAACCCCATCTCTACTAAAAATACAAAAATTAGCTGAGTGTGGTGGTGGACGCCTGTAATCCCAGCTACTCAGGAGGCTGAGGCAGGAGAATCTATTGAACCTGGGAGGCGGAGGTTGTCCAGCCTGGGCAACAGAGTAAGACTCTCAGAAAAAAAAAAATATGAAAATGTATTTGTCCAATGTCACAGTCGTTCCATTGTCTTCCTTATCTCATGTTTTGCCTCAGGTGACTTTACCAAAAATTCCCTTTTCCTTCCCTGCTTTAGGTAATTTCATACTGTAGGTTCATTTATTCTTTTGCCCCTCTTAGATAGTTGTTGCTTTGTGCTATACATTTTGGTTAAAGGAGTTATGTAGGTATACGGTGACAGCATAATGCCTCTGAATCACAGGACCTAGCTACTTCTTAGCTCCTAGAGTAATTTCATCCATGTAACTCACAGAAATAGAATCTGAAGACTGAGGAATAGATGATTCTGTTATTCCAAATTATTTCAATTTATTTCTCTTAAACTTGCCATAACTATCCAAGTAGAGACACAGTATTAGCCTCTCTTAACTAGAGATCTCAGAAACTAGAAAATTGCTCATTTTAGACCAGGTGCAGTGGTTCACGCCTGTAATCCCAGCACTGTGGGAGGCCGAGGCAGGCAGATCACCTGAGGTCAAGAGTTTGAGACCAGTCTGGCCAACATGGCGAAACCCCATCTTCACTAAAAATACAAAAATTAGCTGGGTGTGGTGGCATGTGCCTGTAATCCAGCTACTCAGAGGCAGGAGAATCACTTGAACCCAGGAGGCAGAGGTTGCATGAGTCAACCTGGACAATAGAGTGAGACTCTGTCTCAAAAAAAAATAATAATAAGATAAAATAAAATTGCTAATTTTATTTTCCCCAGACATTGCAGTATGTTTGAGAGTCAGGTTGTTAAAATGAGAATGCATTGTTTCATATGAGACAGTAGGAGAAACTGGGGAAATCAGATGGAATTACTGAGCTTGACTGGAGGTTAAGAATCCTAGAATCCAGTGTTTATTCCAGCACTGCTCCCTGTATGACCCTGGGCAAGTCACTGAACTATCCTGGGCCTTCATTTCCTCCTCTGTAAAATGACAATTAGACAAGATCATCGAAGCCCCTGTGAGATTTAAAATTCTTTTCTCAAAAACAAAACTTTAAAAGACCATAAATAGCATAGTAACTACAGTATTACAACTTCAAATCACATAGACTTGAAGACAAACAGCTCTTAACTACCAACAACTTTTCCAGGTTAAATTCTTCTGGCAGGAAATTTGAGAGTCATTTGAGGGACTAGTTTAAAATTTAGCTTATGGTTTTAAACTGCCAGTCTTAGCCTAGAAGTTCCTTAGTTAAGAGATAATCATTAGCAACAGTAATTGTCTCTTTCTGGTACTTGGTGTCTTAAAATGCAAATACTTTCTCTTTTCAACCTTCTAGAAGTGAAGCTGGAAAAAGTTTCATGGTGTTGCTACTTAGAAAAGAGCTTTGAACTACAGGAATGCAATGTGGGACTAAAGAGCCACATCCAGAAGTGGGATGAGTCATGCAACTCAGAGGACAGTAGTGAAGGGGCAATGAGGAATTGACAGTGGGGCTGGTGGCAACACAAAGCCTAGAATACCTAAAATAATTTCTTAGCTAAAGGGCTGTACTTTGGACTTATAGCAAGGCTAGCAACATTATCAAGGGCTTTTTCCAATATAAAGTGTTTTATTTTTTATAAAGGGTCAGTATAATTTCTATATATGGCAGTCATTGAGTAAAGTCTCTTCTCAGCTTTAAAATATTCTTCTTGCCAGCCACAATTACAGGCCATTTTATAACCACTTCTTCCTCCAGCCTCAAAACTATCCCTATTCCCTGCTTCATTTCCCCCTAGATTGACCAACTCTACATAGAGTAGATCATCAAACCAAAGATTTGGCAGGGGGCAGGGGGCAGGGGGCAGGGGGAGTGGACAGTGAATGAGGAAAGATTATTGTTAAGCTACTGCTCATGCTTCAGTGAAGCAGTAAAGAATGATTTAACCATATGACAAACATACTTAAATTCAAATTCTGGCTTTGCCAGTGTCACTTGTGTGACCTTCGGAAAATCGCCTATTTCCTAACATGTAAAAATGGGGACAGTGATTTCAATCTGGTAGAATTTTTGCAAGGGTAGATTTAGTGAGGTGATGTATGTGGGATAGAATTCCATAGTGTTGGTTTACAGTAAACACCCAAATATTTTAACTTTTTTCTTTTCTTTTTTTTTTTTCAGACAGCATCTTGCTTTGTCACCCAGGCTGGTGTGCAGTGGCATGATCTCGGCTCACTGCAACCTCTGCCTCCTGGGTTCAAGTGATTCTCGTGCCTCAGCCTCCTGAGTAGCTAGGATTACAGGCATGCACCACCAAGCCTGGCTAATTTTGTATTTTTAGTAGAGACAGGGTTTCTCCATGTTGGTCAGGCTAGTATCGAACTCCTGACCTCAGGTGATCCACCCACCTATCTGTGTGTGTGTGTGTGTGTGTGTGTGTGTGTGTGTGTGTACATGTTATGGAAAAATGGTCATAAGATCTGAACAACAAAAGTATGTTTACTGCTTAGCAAACATGTCAGTTCGACAGGTTCTGCTAATATAATGAGAGTGTATTTGTACATTCAGGTAGCTAAGGCTTAACAAGTCTAAAAATTCCTTACTTCAAAAATTCAACTATTTAAAGTGTTTGGTTCACAGTAAAAGGAGATTCTGTTTTAAACAATACATACTATACTTTTTAAAGGTTGTATTAGCACCTGCAAACAATTCACCTTAAAAAAAAACAGAATGAGTCATAAGGAGTCAGACATGCCATTAATCAGCTTTTAATTATCTTTCATAAAAGAGGGAAGGAAAAAAATAGAGATAACTCTGTATATAATCCAAAAGGTTCTCTGTGACTTGGAATGAAGCCAGAAAAAAAATCTCATTTTGTTTCACACACTGGCACCTGGTGTGGAGATCAACAGTTGCTCAAAGGAATTTGAAATAATTATAGTGTGCTAATAGATAATTAATTGGGAACTGATTCTGCAAGGCAGAGTAAAACATTTGTTTCATAATTGTGCAGTTCTTGCAAGAGATCACTTACATTTTTTCCCCCCCATCAGGTATAATGGGTCTCTCCCAAATGGCGATAGAGGAAGGAGGAAAAGTAGGTTTGCTTTGTTTAAAAGACCTAAGGCAAATGGGGTGAAGCCCAGCACTGTGCATATTGCTTGTACTCCTCAGGCTGCAAAGGTAAAAAATAATTTTTTTTTTAAAAAGCTACATAAATTAACCTGGAGAAATCGAAAGACTTTTATGTGTTGTTTATATTCTCTAGCATTCCCCTCACATTTCTATTTCAGAAATTTCCTTTTGTTTGGATTGGAGAAGAGACTTTGGAGACATGGTATTTGAAGAGCTGCCATATGGAAGGGGAATTGAACTTTTTTTTTTAAATGACAAACGAGGATCAGTGGGTGGAAATTAGAAGGAACATTCTCTTTCCTTATTAAAAGAGGTGGGGTGGGGGACAGGGCTTTATCTAGTACTTAGAATTATGCAGCTGTCTGCCCTGAGAAGTGGAAAGTTCCCACTCTTATTACTGGAGGGGCCTCCCTGGGAGGAATGTGATGTATAATATGTGTATTCAGGTATTAGAAGCATGTGTGGATGAGGTAATTTTTAAACTAAGGGTCTTTACCTAAGATTCTGTGTATTGTTTTTATTCATTTTTGGTTTATAACTTCTTATCTTTTAGCATAGTGCCTTGCACAAAGTAGAACTCAATAATTATTAAATTGAATCAAAGCTATGAAAGCAATATCCAAGTGCATCTACAATATAACTTCTCAACCCCCTAGCCTATTTCATGCTTCTAGCCTCTTTTTCTTCTTCTAACAAAACTTCCAGGAGCTAGAACACCGTTTCAGGATACTTGGGCTTTTCCTAGAGTGACAGATAAGGAGGGGGAATTTCACATCTTTGTATTTTCTGTGAATTCTTCTGCTTCCAATTTTATAACACAGAATGAATTTGATATTGTAATGAGCAAATAAGAAAAATTACAAAGAGTTCTTTGACTCCTGGAAGTACCTGTGTCTTTAGCCAAGCAGCCCAAGGATGTACATTAGTATTATACCATCTGAAGCATCTCTGTATAAGTTAAATAAATGAGAGACAGAAAAATTGGCATATGATCTGGTTTTAGGTTGCAGCTTTAGTGTCTGAAGATAATTGACTTTTCAGCTTTGTTTTATACCCAGTTTGATTTGTGAAAGAATCTTTAGGACTTGAGTAGGATTCCTCTGTTACTATTTGGGAGCCAGTTAGTGCAGAAAAGGGAGTTTCTCTTGGGGTATTTCTTTTTGCTCCTTTGGAGAGAAGGAATGTGCTAAGCAGGTGGCAGAAGTAAACCTCAGATTGATCCAATCGGAGGCGCTTCTTACAATATCTCCCCCAGGAGTGCTCTTGACATTTTGGGTGTGCCAGTTTTTCATTATTCAGGACTTTTCCACATACTACAGGACATTTATGGGTCCTTTGCCCACAAAATGCCATGTGAGCCTGCAAATCCTTATAACAGCCAAAAAATTTAGATGCCCCTTAAACAGCTAATACTACCTCTGGTTGAAAATCACTATCAGGGAAAAGATTTCTAATCCCTACCTCTATAATATCACATTCTGTACTTTTCTTCCTGTTGTTACTCTGCCATGCCCTCATGTTTGCATTGTTATCTCTTTTTCATCTTTCGTCTTTACTAGGCAATAAGAACCTTAGGGATCACAGACTAACTCTTGGCTGGGTGTGGGCAGATCACTTGAGCTCAGGAGTTCAAGACAAGCCTGGGCAACATGGTGAAACTCCATGTTGACCAAAAGTACAAAAAATTAGCCAAATGTGGTGGCATGCCTTGAGGTCCCAGCTACTTGGCAGGCTGAAGTGGAAGGACCACTTGAGCCCAGGAGGCAGAGGCTGCAGTGAGCTGAGATCATGCCACTGCACTGCAGCCTAAATGACAGAGTGTGACCGTCTCAATTTAAAAAACAAAAAAGATTGACTCTTTCTTCTTTAAATTTTGGAGGAATGTATTAGTGAGGTTATGATGAAAATTAAGCATTTAGTCTGGCAGTCATCTGGGGTGAGTGGTTAAAACCCTGTGTTCTAGTCCAATGAGATTCAAACTTGACATAGTTTTTATTCTTGGTCTAAGAGTAGGTTTAATAGCTAAAAAAAACACACAAAGATTACAATCTCAAAGCACACAAAAACCAATATTTTAAAATCTCGTTAGCCACTAAGAATTACTTTTCAAAATACTGAGTAATTATTTCCTTGAAAAGTCAGCTGTTTAGCCGAGCACTGTGACACATGCCTGTTAGTCCCAGTTACTTGGGTGGCAGAGACAGGAAGATCACTTGAGCACAGGAGTTTGAAGCTGTGGTATGCTGTTTTCCTGCCTGTAAATAGCCACTGCACTTCAGCCTCTACAACATAGTGAGACCTGTTCTCTTAAAAATATATGTGTGTGTGTATGTATATACGCACACACACATATATATATATGTAGGTTTAAAACCTGTAAAGCAAAATTATATAGTATTTATGAATACCTAAATATTTGGAAACAAATATGTAAAACATGCATATGTAAATGATCTACACTGCATTCTTGAGGTTGGATACCTGTGTGGAAAAAAGGGAATTGAGACATGTAGGCAACCTCAATTGTATCTGTAGTTTAATTCCTTAAAAAAAAAATCAGAAGCAAAAGTGGCAGCATTAAGCTTTGATAAAGCTGAGTCATTAGTATAGTCTCTTTGTATATTTGGAAATTTGACAATCTTAATCTTAACGTTGTTGTTTTAAGGCCTTATCTATTACAGATTAGCTGCAAATTGAAACCAAGTAAAAACTTATGATGCCAAACTTCTAAGTAAAAAGGGTTTTTTAATTTAGCTTCTTTGCTGTATATAATTATTCCCTTCTGTCTTTTTATCTGTTTTCTTTTTACGCAGCCCATTTCTACTTCCTTTGTGTGATGACTAGATTTTTCCCCTCCTTTGATATTATCTTCAACTCAAAAACATTGAAAACAAAACTGAAAAGTTCTTGTTAACAGTGTTTTTAGTTTTAGATAAGTCAGAAGTACAGTCATAAGCATTACATTCCTTTCCTTTGGTAATGTTTAATCATTCTTTGAATGTTCTTTTGTTTTAAAAAAATTTTTTTTCCTTTATCTCCTGGGACCAAATCCCAAATGCATTTTTCTGTATCTTACCCCACATATGGCAAACATTTGTCATCTCTAGAGTCACAAAATGGTTAGAAAAACCAGTTAACTTGGCTTATTAGTGAACTTTATAGCTCTCTAAATGACTTCAAAATCAGACTCATCTTATTTTGCAAGATTTTGTACTTCCTATCAGAGCAGTACTGACTATCGTTTTCTGTTTTTATGTGGAATTTGGTTTTGATTATTTTATAATTTAAAATATTTAATAAGGTAGTCTAGTGTTTGATAAAAGAAAATTATGGGCCAAGTGTAGTGGCTCATACCTATAATCCTAGCACTTTGGGAGGCCACGGTGGGTGGATTTTCTGAGCTCAGGAGTTTTAAGACCAGGCTGGGCAACATGGTGAAACCCTGTCTCTACTAAAAATAGAATTCAAATTAGCCAGGCATGATCTGTGCCTGTAGTCCCAGCTGCTTAGGAGGCTGAGGCAGGAGAATCATTTGAACCCAGGAGGCAGAGCCTGCAGTGAGCCAAGATCGTGCTGCTTGTACTCCAGCCTGGGTGACAGAGCGAGACTCCATCTCTAAAAAATAAAATAATTTTTTTACTGTTTAACTGCTTCTAAATATTCTTCAGTACCACATTCAACCCAAGAAACTACTGTCACAGCTGACAGGAGTTATTAACCATTCCTCTAAATATCAGGGGAAAAATATATAAATATGTCATGTTTTTGGGGAAAAATATATAAATATGTCATGTAAATAGTTTTCCCTTTTTTTAATGAAAAGATTTTCAGATTGGATTGACCTGCCTACTAATTTTTGCTATTAACTTTTTCATTCTTAGGCAATAAGCAACAAGGACCAGCATAGCATATCATATACTTTATCTCGGGCCCAGACTGTGGTGGTTGAATATACTCATGACAGCAACACTGATATGTTTCAGGTATTATAACATCTAAAATTTTTTTCTTAAAAAACAAAAAGTTAAAAATCTAGTCTGGTAACTTCTGCTGAGGTCAGATAAAGGATTATCATAAATTTATATTGTATTTTATTGAAATACAGATTGATTGGTAAACCTCATAAGTAGAAGTCAGTCAAGCATGGTTGAGATGGGCTCTGGAATCAGAATTACTGGAAAGTATTACATAGCCATTATATGCCTCAGTTTTCTCCACTGTAAAGTGCAGGTAATAGACTCTCCCTCATGACTATTAGGAGGCTTAAATGATCTAGTACAGGTAGAGTACTCAGAGTTGTGCCAGGCACTTAGTAAAAACACTTGGTGAATAGTAGCTATGATCCAAAAAAGAAAACAATAAATATTCTGTACATATTTATGACTTTTTCTACCACTACCTCCCACCTTCCTCTCTAGGCAATAAACAGTTTAGGCAGTTGCTAACTATTTGTATTATATATGTAAAGTCAAACTTTTTTTCTCAGCACATATTTGGTCAATGCTACTCATGCAATAAAAGTATTTTTTGACTGGGTGCAGTGGCTCACGCCTGTAATCCTAACACTTTGAGAAGCTGGAGGAGGGGGATCACGGGGTCAGGAGGTCAAGACCATCCTGGCCAAGATGGTGAAACCCCGTCTCTACTGAGATTACAAAAATCAGCCGGGCATGGTGGAGGGCGCCTGTAATCCCAACTATTCTGGAGGCGGAGGCAGGAGAATCATTTGAACCCAGGAGGCGGAGGTTGCAGTGAGCCGAGCCAAGATCGCACCACTGCATTCTAGCCTGGGAGACAGAGCAAGACTCTCTCAAAAAAAAAAAAAGGTTTTTTTTTCTCTCACTTTTTGTACCATTGCAGTGCTGACATTTTTATACGCTGATAAATTCTAGGAGAGTCCATTCCAAAGATGTAAATAGAATTCTGGATCTTCTTCCTTAATATTGAGCTCTCTGAAGCCTTGGGCTTTTTAAAAATAAACTTAAGTAGAATGTAAATTGCCTGATAATGTTGCTCTTATAATTATTGTCCCTTTGACTTTTTTTTTTATTTTACAAGGCAAATAAAAGTGAAAAGGGCTGGAAATATATTTAATTTCAGTCAATAGTGAAATATTTCTTTGAAGTCACTCTCTCTGCCCAACCCTTTTAATGAGATGAGATACTGAATTTCTTTTCTCTAGTTAATATTAGAATGTGGGCTTTTGTTTGTTTTCCTGGCTTTTACCAAAAATAAATAACATCTTTAATGAAGATTAACGTTTAGATCCAACAAAAACCTAACACAAAGCTTTAGGATGGTTTTTCACATTTTGTTTCACTGACAAACAGTGAAAATAAATAAGCTTAGCTTTTTTTTTTTAATAATCAAAATGCTACTAGCCCTGTAGTCTCAGTTACTCAGGGAGCTCAGGTGGAGGATAGCTTGAGCCCAGCCTGGGCAACATAGTGAGACCTCGTGTCTTTATTGATTGACTGATTTATAGATAGATAGATTGATAGATAGACAGACAGACAGACAGATGTACCCAAGATACTTGGTCACAGGCTAGAATTTCGGCTTCAGAAAGTACGTTATATTTATTTGTTTACCCCTTTTATAGATGAAGTTAACTGAAATCTTATGAGTTAAAGATGATAGAGTTAATTGGGAGCAAAACTGAAATTAAGCCAGGCATCCTAAATTCTGAAACAGTGTCTTCACATCTAATGAAAGCCCTTAAATAAGTTTTACATTTCGAGTTTTGTCTTTTCCATAAAGTTGAGAATTTTTCCCAGTATCATAAACTGATTATGCCCTTTCTACAGGTATTATAGCTTTGGAAAATCCAAACATTTCTGCATCAAAAAGACTGCGATGTATCAGAAACTACCTTGATAAACTAGCCAGTCTTCGAGGAATTGTATTAGAAACATTCTAGGATTGCCTGCCCTGTAAACCAAACAAGAACATTTATTGTTCAAGTCATCAGCTATGTGCATCATTTGGCACTATAAAGTACATAAGGGAGACATTATAGGCTGATCACATGCCTAGGTACTATACTGACCCTCTAAATTTTAAGCACATTGATTGGGTTGAAGAAGGATGGAGAAAAGACTTTACACTGGTGCCTTTTTATATAGATCTTTTTATCAGGTTAAGTAGGATTTTTGTCAGCAACCAGAAAAGCATTCTGGCAAAAGAAATGGCAAAGAAGTACACAGTGTGGTAAAAGATTGATGACAATGTACCTGTACCTAGTAGACACAAATAGCAGGAAATTCGGCTGGATTGATAGATGGGAGGCAAATCTTGAGTCAGTTTCTATTATCAGAAATAATAAACTACAAATTTTGGATAAACTTTAAGGAACCATTGAATTTTCTCTTAGGGGGGTGAGGGAGAATGACAAAAGATAATTATTAACATTAATCATATTTTGGCATCTGATCACATTCATATTGGCTTTTTTTTCTTTATAAATACTTTCTTCCTTCTCATTGTCCTTACAAATATTGCTTCAGTGTCTTAAATATTCTCTCCCAAGACCCAGTTGAAATGTGAAATGTCAGCCCTCTGGAACAGTCTCTTTCCAAATAAGCACTACTTCTGTTGATTCTGAATATTAATTCAATCCTTGGCCTACATCTTTTAGCTTTTAAAGAGCCTTTTTATTTTGGGAAATATTTTTAATTTGAGAGGTCTGAGACCATTTTATTTGGGTATCATTATCTTAAATTTAAGATATCTTTATTTTTAAGAATAAAGAGAAGGGATATCCAAATTTTTTTTTTTTTTGAGACAGTCTTACTCCGTCACCCAGGCTGGAGTGCAGTGGTGTGATCGCAGCTCACTGCAACCTCTACCTCCTGTGTTCAAGTAATTCTCCTGTCTCAGCCTCCCAAGTAGCTGGGACTACAGGCACCTGCCACCACAACCAACTAAATTTTGTATTTTCAGTAGAGATGAGGTTTTACCTTGTTGGTCAGGCCGGTCTCAAACTCCTGACCTCAGGTGATCCACCCACCTTGGCATCCCAAAGTCCTGGGATTATAGGCATGAGCCACTGTTCCCAGCCAATATCCAATCTTATATTTGTTAAATAGTTTCCCTCTAAAACGATCCAATCTAAATATAAGGACTTTATACTTGATAATTAGACAAAAACACTAAAGAAGTTTATCTGGAAGTGTGCTGATATGAGGAACTTGAGGCTAAAATATGTAAAGAATTACTTTTAAGAGTCTTTATCTTTGTAGAGGGTCAGTATTTTTTCTCAGTACCCACATTCTTCAATTTTACAATACTACTTTATAACAAATACATTCACGAACTGATAATTTCCAAATGTTTGCTTTAAAGCCCTGTGACACTTGTCACTTTTGTCATCTACCCACTGATTTTCTTTTATCTTTTCAACTTTCAAAATGAAATTAACGTATTTACTAGCTAGTACCTCTGAAGATGTTTTGAAATCTCTGACACCTCACCCATCCAGAACTCTTATCTGGGAGCCTTGTCTCTCTCTCTGAAATATGCTCAAGAACCAGGAAGAGTATATATATATAAAATAAATACCACAAAGTTGATGCAGTTAATTGCTTTTATGTATTCCCTAGAGAATCCCTTAGGCTCTCACTAGAACCTTTTGAAATTGTCTTCTCTGAAGTTGGTTATTTGATCATCAAATATTTGAGCATCAAAATAAGAGTAGCCAGTTAAAGGAGGGGGTTGTTGATGGAAACAAGCATGACCAAAAACAAAGAGTGATAGCTGACAACCTGACAGAAAAGAAACAAGAAAATCTGTGAAGTATACATAAGACCTCAAAGCAAGGCTCTGCAAGCCCTTGACGTAAGGATCAGCAGTCTTACACACCTCTTATAGCACCTGAAGACATCGCTGCATATCAGCTTAATATAAATAGTATTTATAGTGTAATGTTCTGCGGTCATCCTAAAAGATTTACTTATATATGTTCACTATATTCTGTTAAATAAGGTAGAATAAATAGAAATTCCATTAGACCCAGCAATCCCATTACTGGGTATATATCCAAAGGATTATAAATTGTTCTATTATAAAGACACATGCACACGTATGTCCATTGCAGCACTGTTTACAGTAGCAAAGACCTGGAATCAACTCACATGCCCATCAATAATAGACTGGACACTAGGGAAATGTGGCACATATATACCATGGAATACTATGCAGCCATAAAAAATGATGAGTTAGTGTCCTTTGTAGGGACATGGATGAATCTGGAAACCATCATTCTCAGCAAACTGACACAAGAACAGAAAATTAAACACTGCACATTCTCACTCATAGGCAGGTGTTGAGCAATGAGAACACATGGACACAGGGAGGGGAGCATCACACAGTTGGGAGGTAAGCAGTTTGGGGAGGGATAACATGGCAAGAAATGCCAGATATAGGTGATGGGGGGAATGGAGACAGCAAACCACATTGCCATGTATGTACCTATGCAACAATCCTGCATAATCTGCACATGTACCCCAAAACCTAAAATGCAATAATACATACATACACACACACACATATATATATATATATAAAGAATATCTCTTTAAATATCTCTAAAGATAAAAAACCTACATAATATACACATTTCCATCCAAAAGGGTTAAGATTAAAATCTGCAGCCATCTAGAAATCTCAGCCATTGCTGAATTCTTCATTCCCTGAGGGGTTCATATATTGTTGTAAGTTGCCCTTTGATTCCATGCTCTAAGTGATTACGGTCATCAGAGACAGTCTGACTGATTAGTTTTCAAGAATATAGATGCCCCCAACGTTAACTATGGTAAGTATCAACTTTAGGAATTTCAGAGGTTTAATGTTTACTTCTTATACTGCCTTCTTGAATGGATTTACCACTGTGTTCTTTGAATGGGTTTATAGATATTTCTTTTTCCCTCAGATTGGCCGGTCAACTGAAAGCCCCATTGATTTTGTAGTAACTGACACAGTTCCTGGAAGTCAAAGTAATTCTGATACACAGTCAGTACAAAGCACGATATCAAGATTTGCCTGTAGAATAATATGTGAACGGAATCCTCCCTTTACAGCACGGATTTATGCTGCAGGATTTGACTCATCAAAAAACATCTTTCTTGGGGTAAAAAGCTTTTTTTCTAAATGATGCTTTCTTTTATACTAGCTTTCATTCCAAATTACAAGTAATTGGAAGCTTGCTACTATTATTTCTACTAGGAAAAGGCTGCCAAATGGAAGACATCAGATGGGCAGATGGATGGCTTGACCACTAATGGCGTTCTTGTAATGCATCCACGCAATGGGTTCACAGAAGACTCCAAGCCTGGAATATGGAGAGAAATATCAGTGTGTGGAAATGTATTTAGCCTGCGTGAAACCAGATCAGCTCAGCAGAGAGGAAAAATGGTAAATACTGAATGGTATTTTCTTAATTAGCTACAATAAACACATAGGATGAACTGAACTGAATGCATTACATCCATTCAAAAAAACTCTTAAATCTATTGCCAACACAGAATATTAAGTCTATCAAACACTGACTACCAAATTCTATACTAGAGGACAGTATCTTAATATTTCATTTAGTACACTCTAAAAGTGTATTCCTCTATCATATCATGTTAATATATTTTAAAACCTAAGCTTTCTTAAACAGCACTCTCTGATCTTTTCTGTTGCCATCTGTATATATTTGACCATATTTACCTAATTTAAAATATTAGACTTACTGATTAGCCAGATGTTTTAATCATAAGTTGTCTTTATAAGGCTAAAAATAAATATGTTAATGTTTGATATTTTATCCTTGATTTTCAGACTTATCTTTTTCATAACTACTGTCAGTTTCTTGAATATTTAGTGAAAATCCTAGGAAATCTCATGCCTTAAGTAAGAAGTACTTAAAACCAAAACTCTTACGTAAAAGTGCAAAACAGAGTGGTGAATATGTTTTTCAACTCTTGTCTTCTCTAGGTGGAAGTTGAAACCAACCAGTTACAAGATGGCTCGTTAATCGACCTCTGTGGTGCAACATTGCTATGGCGTACTGCAGAAGGCCTTTCCCACACTCCTACAGTGAAGCATTTAGAAGCTTTAAGACAGGAAATCAATGCAGCACGACCTCAGTGCCCTGTAGGGTTCAACACACTAGCATTTCCTAGTATGAAGAGGAAAGATGTTGTAGATGAAAAACAACCATGGGTATATCTAAACTGCGGCCATGTACATGGCTATCATAACTGGGGAAACAAAGAAGAACGTGATGGAAAAGATCGTGAATGTCCTATGTGTAGGTCTGTCGGTCCCTATGTTCCTCTGTGGCTTGGATGTGAAGCTGGATTTTATGTGGACGCCGGCCCTCCAACCCATGCGTTTAGCCCGTGTGGGCATGTGTGTTCAGAAAAGACAACTGCCTATTGGTCCCAGATCCCTCTTCCTCATGGTACTCATACTTTTCATGCAGCCTGTCCCTTTTGTGCACATCAATTGGCTGGTGAACAAGGCTACATCAGACTTATTTTTCAAGGACCTCTAGACTAACAGACCATTGTCCTCCAAGACTACATTATAAATTTATAAGCTAAGTGAGTTGGGTTTTCAAACTTGTCCACATCACAGTTTTTCTGCTCTGGTCATTTGCATTAAGATGAAGAATTTTTTTAAGCATTTATAATAAATAGTAGCAATTTCTGAGCAAAAATCTGGGAAACTCAAGCAAAGGAATTTCTGAAAGCACCAATCTTCTGAATTCTGAGTTTTGAAAATATATTTTGAGGAGAAAAAGACATAGTCTAATTTGATGCCTTCCTTTTAGTGTTTTTGAATCACCCATCCTCAGTGCTGAAATTGTTTTGTATAACTGAGGGTACTGTTGGTTCAAACTATGTTAGTTTACAGTTTGTTGCAAACATTGTAAAATACAGCAACATGTATATTAACTCTTTTCTATTTATCTTTATTATAGAAAATACCTTAGAATGTTCTTGATAGAGTAGCATAGTAACGATGGTGGCACACCCTTGGTGTGAATGGTAGCTTAGTGAGCGCCTAGCTTAAGGATTTGCAAAGTTAGGAAGAAGGACCAGAGAGCGGACCAGAGAGCCTCTCTCCCCAGCCCAGTCTAAATAATTTGGTAAATTAGAATACTTTGTAATTTGTAAGACCAAATTCATATTAATTACCATTGTGTGAAAGGTGTTTGTTTTTAACCACATTGAAGATAATCAGGAAAGACTTTTTCTTAATGTTTCTCTCAAGCATAGTACTATAACAAAAACTTAATGCTAAGAAACATTTTATATGCTCCTTTGAATATGCAATTTAATCTAGATTATCTATTTTTCTCCCATGATAACTAATCTGTTTGTAGTATCAGCAGCATTTGGCAAGTTTATTTTTTGGATATAAACTGGTTCATCTGTTCACTGTTTCTAGAAAAAAGTCCTTCCCATAAGAAAAAGTATAAATTAGCAAGAAAGGAGAGTGACATGATTTGCCTTTAGAAAAAGAAATGCTTAAGTAATTATTCTGTTTTTGGCTTTATTCAGGCATTAGGAAATCTAGAGATCTAAAGGGTTGAATGACAATAGTGCCCCCTTTTAGCAGACCAGCCTTAACTCTGGGTTTGAATCCTAAGGGATTGCCACAGTGAGACTCAAGTAAATGTTTGCTCGGCAGATGCAGCTGAGCACCAATGACTGCAGTGTGGAGTGACCACTGCATGGTCTGTTTTCTAATTCCAGTATGTCCTTTGCTTCTGGAAGCAAAAACAAGTTTCTTCTTTCCCCTCCTTCCCACCCTTTTTTCAAAGGCACCACAAGTATAGACAGTTGCACTACATCAAATCTTTTTTTGACACTTGTAGAAACCAGTACACTTTTAGATTAGACAGTCGTTTAATATTTTGATTTGTTTTCCTTTAGTTTGAAAAGTTGTATAATACTTAATTGACTGTAGCAAAGTTTTATATATGGTAGCATAGCTTTACTTTATCCTATTACAACACTGTTCTGAATTTTCTTTTGGTTTTTAAAAAAACAAAACTTGTTGCTTAGAAGCCATGAACTATTTTATTTTACTTCAACTGTTGAAATGTCCTTATTTTTAAAAATGATCATTTGGGTTCACTCAGGAAATGCATGTCAGGAAACTTGTATTATAAGTTTATTAGTTGTGATGTATCAGTAACTGCTGTTACCCCTTTTTCAAAGAAATGTAATTGATTTTAAAGTTTTCTAGATTGTCACATGCTTTGTGACTAATGCAAGGAAATCAAGGAAAACCTGTGTTGTATTTGTTCTAGTCATTTCTATTCAGGCTATATGTTGTAGCTTGATTTTTATTTGCAATTAATTTATTTAAACTAAGTAAATACTTTTCAAAATAGATATTTTCATTTGTCTCTGTGAGTTCATTTTTGCATAATCGAGAATGAGAAACCAGAAGTGAAAATTGTGGACAACTCTATTCCACACTCCCAAAAATACTCATTTGAAATAGATGAAGAATTTGCATTTAATGTAACACTTTACAGTCTCTGGTTTTCTTTGTAAAGCATCTCTTATTAATAAAGGAACTTTGTTAGTGGTTGAATAATTGAGGCCTTTTCTAAGTTAAGCCTTGCTAGGGAGTTGGCACCTGTAAATGACATATTAGACTATTTAAATAGTCCCCTTGTAACCATAAAAATTTCACACCCTTCGCAAAGTTGCCTGCATTTTCTTCTAACAGGTGAGAAAAACCTGGCTCATTTTCTATCAAATTCAAGTTCTGAAAACTCAGGCAATTTAAATTATCAGTTGGGTGCTTGCTGTTGAAGCATTTTGAATATTAGATCTGTTATTTTGCCATGCCTAATAGAACACTTTTACTTACTCACTTGCATTAAGGGATTGGCAGTATGCTGGCCAAGGAGGGGAAAAAGTTGTATTTAGGTCTCCTAAATGCACTCTCAAGAAAGAAAATCTTTATGGCTGAACTCTTTTTATCAAAGCAGTCTTTATATTTAAATGCTACTTAATTTGTTCAAGGAATTAAATTTCCTCTTATCTAAAATGTTAGGGTCATGAAGCAAGACATGAAAGGCGGCCATTGAGACACAGGAGTTCTTTTACTAGGTTATCTTCTTGCAGTCTTCCTTGCTTACTTCCTCATGTAAAAGCCTTCCAGTACATGTAAAGCAGGGTAGGAATAAATAATAATGGAAGTATGTAATTACTTCTAACATTTGAATGTCCCACTTCACTCTTCCCTCGGGATACCTCAAGAACCATGAGTGACGTATAACCTTCTGACCCAGACTGAGGGCACTGGTCAAAGTCCACCTATTATAATGTTATAAGATCAACATAACTCTTAGGACTTTGGTCCTTCATTGCAATGGATCATCTTGTGCTACCCCCACCTTTTTTTTTTTTTTAAGACAGCATCGGCTGGGCACAGTGGCTCACACCTGTAATCCCAACACTTTGGGAGGCCAAGGTGGGTGGATCATGAGATCAGAAGTTCAAGACCAGCCTGACCAATGTGGTAAAACCCCATCTCTATTAAAAATACAAAAATTAGCTGGGTATTTGGCATGCACCTGTAATCCCAGCTACTCAGGAGCCTGAGGCAGGAGAATCTCTTGAACCTAGGAGGCAGAGGTTGCAGTGATCAGAGATTGCATCACTGCACTCTAGCCTGGGTGACAGAGCAAGCCTCTGTTTTAAAAAAGAAAAAAAAAAAGAGAGGGTCTTGCTCTGTTGCCCAGGCTGGAGTGCAGTGGTAGCATACAGTTCACCACAGCCTCAACCTACCAGGCTCAAGAAATTCTACCTCTACCTCCTGAGTAGCTGGGACTACAGATACATACCACTATTCCCAGCTGATTTTTTTTCATTTTCAATAGACATGTCTCACAAGGTTTCCCAGGCTGGTCTCAAACTCTACTGCACTTAAAGCAATCCTCCCACATTAGCCTCCCAAAGTGCTGGGATTACAAGTGTGAGCCACCACATCCTGCTGTGCTACTTCACTTTAGAGTTAAACTTATGTTCCATTCTCTTTATTCTCTAAGCATTGATCCTGTAGCAAATCAGAACAGCAAAACTCTACATCACTGAATTCTATTATTCTGTCTCTGTCATCCCCACTTTCAGAATTACTGTAAGTATTCGTTAATGTTTTGTCTTCAAATTTTATCTTTATCTTTGCTCTGTCGCCCAGGCTGGAATGCAGTGGTGTGATCTTGGCTCAATGCAACCTTTGCCTCCTGGTTTCAAGAAATTCTTCCTGCCTCATCCTCCCAAGTAGCTGGGATTACAGGTGCCTTTTGCCACACCTGGCTAATTTTTGTATTTTTAGTAGAGACCGGGTTTTGCCATGTTGGCCAGGCTGGTCTTGAAATCCTGAACTCAATTGATCCATCCACTTGGCCTCCTAAAGTGCTGGACTTACAGGCATGAGCCACTGTACCCGGCCTCTACTCATTCTTAAAACAGATTTTTGTAAACCCAGTGTGCACCAAGCCCTGTCCTAAACTGGGTGGTGTAGCAGGAAAAACAAAAAAAAGATCCCTGCCTTCATGGTGCTTGTAATCTAGTGGATAAGATAGAAATGAGCCAGAAAAGGTGGCCAGGCGTGGTGGCTCAAGCCTGTAATCCCAGCACTTTGGGAGGCCGAGGCAGGTGGATCACGAGGTCAACAGATCGAGACCATCCTGGTTAACATGGTGAAACCCCGTCTCTACTAAAAATACAAAAAATTAGCTGGGCATGGTGGCATGTGCCTGTAATCCCAGCTACTCAGGAGGCTGAGGCAGGAGAATTGCCTGAACCAGGAGGCGGAGCTTGCGGTGAGCGGAGCTTGCGGTGAGCCGAGATTGCGCCATTGCAATCCAGCCTGGGTAACGAGCGAAACTCCGTCTCAAAAAAAAAAAAATTGAAATGAGCCAGAAAAGGTAATAATATATATGTACAATATGATAGATAGTAAACTGTGCTGAGGGGGCAAATAAAGTTGAAAGAGTTGCAAAATCATGTGCTGGGGCAGGAGGGGTAGTATTTACAATATCAAACAGGAAAGCCCCACTGGAAAGGTGGCATTTGAATAGAGTTCTAAAAGAGCTGAAAGAAGGGAGTGGCCACTTACAGGGGCATTTAGGCAGAGAGCCCTAGAAGGCCATTGCAAGGGCCCTGAAATAGAAGCATGTCTGAGATATTTCTATAATAGAAAAGAGGCATGTGATGTCAAGTGGTGTGAATCAAGGAAGAGTAGCAGGTAAGGCCAAAGAAGTAAAATGACAGAATTTAAGTGGGAGATAGGGATGAAAATAGATTATGGAGGGTCCCCTGGGATTTATGGCTTTTATTCTGAATGAGATTGGAACACTGGAGGGTTTTGAGCAGGTGAGTGACTTGACGTAGCATATTTTAATAAGATCTGAATACACTCAAGGTGGGATCAGGGAGAACACTGCAGTAATCCTGGAGACAAATGGTGGTTTGGATTAGGTGGTAGCAGTGGAGGTGTTTTGAAAAGTGATCAGATTTTGAATGTGTTTTAAAGGCAGACCTGACAGCCTTTGCTAGCAGATCAGCTACAGGGTTTGAAAGACAGAAAAGGGATCAAGGATAACTCCACTCAATCAGCCTCAGCAACTAGAAGGATGGAATTGCCATTTGTTGAAGTAGAGATTGTAGGAAGAACTGTTGAGGGGATGAAGTGCCCTGGTGGAGAAATCAGGAACTCAGTCCTGAATATTAGACTGAGGCACCTGTTAGACAAGACATTTGCCAAAGGACAGATGTCTCCACTTTTAACTATCAAGTTCTCAATCATTATGATTTCTCTATATACCCCATGCTGGCTTAGAAACAAACAAAACAGTATCCCTCCTGATTAATGGTGAATTTCCTTTCATTGAAATAGAGAGTTGGGACACCTCTCCTCTTTCTCTCTTTTCTTTGGCTTCCCTCTGAGGAAATGAAGTTTTGTTTTCAACTGTAATTGCTCACTTAGCCAAAGCATTCTAATAAAGTTTCTTCCTCCTTACCATATACACCTTTTTCCTTGGCTCTTGCCTTTAAAAAAAAAAGTCTTCAGTTTTCTGGAATCTAAATATTTTGCTGCTTCAAATCTTTTTTGGCAGTGGCAGAGCACAAGCTGTGCTTTGTTTTTAAAGTTGTTGAAAAAATACTTGAGTGCTTATGGAAAACAGAATTCTTAAATCTGTAAGTCCAGATTTTAATGTCCAGTTTCCCTGAAGGAAATAGGCCTGTATTTGATAATTATCAACCAAAAAACAGTAATAAGATCAGATTACTGTTTTTGATTGATAATTATCAAATACAGGCCTATTAATCACCATAAAATATCATGTCCATGCATTGTGTTAGATGATGCAACAGTAACGCTGGGTTCTTTAGGTTGACATTAAATTGTCAACTAAGCTATGTGTGTGAATATTAAGCCACAGCATACAAGTGTTCCTCATAGCTAACTTGCATTTTTGCTATGTATAAAGCACTATTCTAAATGCACCCTACTAGGAAGATGACTGATATTATTTTAAAAATCAAAACATCCCTGTGAGGAAAGAATTGGTAAAATGGAAGCCACCCAAACCACTCATAGCAATGTAACTTGCCCAAGATTCACATGGTAACTGGAGGACTCAGAATTTGAACTTTGGAAGTCTCACCCAATTTGTGTGTACATAATCGCCACATTTTGCTGCTTCCCCATTTTAATGATGGAACACATTGAAGGAATTCTTTTGGGTGTTGGTAAAGAAGTATGATTTCCAGCACATGATAGATGCTCAAAAACTATTTCTTGGTTGATTGGAAAAAATAGAACTCTGGAGCTTTAAGCTACTTAATACTGAGTAGAAACATTAACAAAAATAGAAGAATAAAGGTTACATACAAGCTATTTATTTGATCAGAAAATATGCTTTCCTTGGCTGAAAAATAGGAAGGGAAAAGGCAAAAAGATACTACAAAAAGTGGCACTAATTGGAAAGTTGAGAAGGCAACAAGAAGAAAATTGATGGTGCCAGAAAAGAACAAATGGATTACTCTAGAAAAAGGAGAAGAAATATCATTGTACAGACATTGAAATCTTTAAGAACCTATTTTGATGAGGAAAGGCACAATAGGCAGCCAATATTGAAAGGAAAAATTAAGATTTCCTGAAGTTGTATTCTGTCATATTACTGTGTAACTATTAATAATAATATAAACTAGAGAGGATCTTGGACATCAAGTTAAGGTGAGTAAATGAAGGCCTAGATGAACTGATTACTGACTGGCAGATCTGGTATAAGAACTTCATTCCCCTGTGTCTATCCTCATACTTCGGATTAGCATAAACTTAAGTCACCAAGACTCAGTTATATTTCCAT